TCCTCGCAGCTATTAGATATTAGCACCTATCACAAAGTAGAACCAAGAAACTGCTGCCTTGTGCTCCACGGACTTTAGTTCCTTAGCAGTGATGGCCAGAGAATGAGTGGGGCACTGCGGGGACATAGTGGCAGAGACAACACTTGTCCCCAGCCATTTCTTCAGCCACAGCCACCCTAGACCCCTCCTCCCTTGCAGCTAGATGATGTCATGTGATTTGGCTGTCAGCGGGGCCCTGTGGCAGAAAGCTAACCAGTGCCCACTGCACAGCCTCCCTTTCTCTATGCTGGGGACATGGATGTGATGGCTGGATCTCCATGGTGAAGCACCAGGAAGATGGCCAATTCCAGATGCCAGAGTAGAAAGCTGGAGGCAGCCTGGTCCCTGAGGGCTTCATGACCACCAAAGTGCCACCCCTGATACTCAGGGGGAAAGGAACGACATCTGCCTTGTGCCAGCCTCACCTGGTGACCACAGGTCTGTGTCTGTGCTGGGAACTCTGGGCTCATAGCCAGTCCTCCCGCTTTAGCAGTGCCTTTGCAACTGCGGATGGAGGCCACACAGGATAGAATGGGATGGGCCTGAACACAGGGTCTCCTAACCCAGGCTAGGAGGCATTTCCATGATGACAAATCCCTGGTGTCCACTGTGTGGGGAGGAGGAGCCAGGAGCCAACCACTCCCTGGCTATCTGGGACCTGCTCCTGTCAGCCTAAGCACTCCTGGCTGATGGAGGTACCTGGGTTAGGGGCTGGCCTGGGACACTGCCCAGCCTTCTGGGGCCAGGGCTCAAGGCACCTCCAGGAGGATGGAGTCAGACAGGAAGGGTCCACCCTGCCTGGGGGCCAGGGAGGCCCAGGGGTACTCCAGGGACCCCTAGCCAGCCAGAGGCCTGGGAAGGGTGCGGGAAGGTGGCACTGAGCCCCAACCCGGGAGTGGGCTTAGCAGGGACTGCTGTCACTTCCCTCCCTTTGCCCAAGAGTGTGGTGTCCCCCAGACAGGTGGAGGTGCCCACCTTATGTTTGGATGCCTAGTGAGAAGGAAGTCTGGGGGGTTCTTGCTCTATGTCCTCAGGCAAGCTTTTGAGCCAGGCCTGTAGACCCCGCCCATGGCCCAGGGGCTTACTGGTTAGCTTCATCACTTTGCTTGTTAGTCATCGAGGTGGCTCAAAATCTCTGGGAGAACTCAGGTGCCAAACAGAATCTGCAGATGAACCATCAACAAAATGTCTTTGCCGCCTCTCTCTTCCCACCTTCTCCATTCCGCAAACACACCAGCTTGGTCCAGCCATTGAGCCTTGGTATGGCGGCCTCTTCTGCCAACACCTGTCCCCTTATCCTCTCAAGGCCAGCCTCTCTCTGTCATTCAGACGTCAGCTTAGACATCAGAAAGGCCTTCCATGGCCTCCTCTCTGAAGTTGCCACCCCGACACTCTCTGGCAGATCACTTTGTTTTCAGTCTACACATAGCAAACGTCTCTACTTGATGCTTTATGCTTTCTCATTTTCTTATGGTCTGTCTTGAGTGTCAGCTGCAGAGGCAGCGTCCTTGGCCATCTCATTCCCTGATGAGACTTGGTGCCTGAGCAGAGCCAGGCACACAATCACTGCACAAAGAAGGCTGGTAGCCGCCCTTGAGCACAGCACAGTGGTTAAAGGCACTAGCTATGAAGTCAGGCAGATCCAGATGCCAATGCCAGACTAGCTGTGTGACCTGCGGCCAGGCGGAGTCTGTCTGTGTCTCAGTTTCCATGTCTGTAAAAGGGAGGTAATGATAGTGTGGTCATGAGGTTTAGATGAAGTGGTGGATGTTGGACCTTTAGAATGGTTTCTGGCATGTGGCGAGTGCATTGTAAATTGTAGCTATGGCCTTTATCACCACCACCACCACCACCGTCCTCATCACCACCATCATCATCATCGCCATCATTGTCATCATCACCATTACCATTATCACCCCCACCATCACCACTGCCACCCATATGCCTGCCACAGTGTTCTGTATGGGCTGCCATGTCAAGGGCCAGACAATTGGGAATGAACGGACTAGGGTCTTCCTGCTCTGGGACACACAGCCTGCTCTCTTGGGCAGATGGCTGGGCCTGGGACAGGAGGTGCAGTGACATTGTCCCACATGACAGCAGCCCCTGGAGGTGAGGGGGATAGGGCAGGCATGGCTTTCTTTGGGAGAATGAGCCCCATGTGCAGCACTTTTGGCTCTGCAGATGTGATGCTTGTTGCCATGGTGACTGTCCTAACAATAACCTCCCAGAACTGATATTCCCCATACCCGCCCCAGCTGCCACCTGGGAGGGAGAGCCCTCCTCGCTTACGAAAGAGAGCTAGAAAGGACAAGGTAGGAGGTGGAGATGGCATGGGGGCGGGGGTGGAAGATGGCCCTTCCTGAAGGTTGGAGGTGAGAAGATGGGGGAGTCTGGGCCTTTTCGACCAGAGCCAAAGCCAGATGAGCAGGCTTCTGGGGCCTGGGACCAGAAAGTCATGACTGGAAGCCTTTCTCCCTTCTAACCTGTTCCCCCTGCCAGGGAGGAGCACCCTGGGTCTGGAGCGGGCGGGGGCCGTTCTGTGAGTGGGCTGCAGGCCACTGTCTGGGCCCAGCCCTTCCCCACTGTCTGGTGCCCACTCACCTGCTCTTCTTGACCTCTCATCGCAGCTCCACGTCACGTTGCTAGTGCTTCAGCCCAGAGGAGTAGAGTGGGGGGAGGTACAGGACACAGTGGGCCTCAAATTGCACCATTTAGTGACCCCAAATTCTTGTGTATCCCTTGTCTTAGACAGCCTCCCCATCTTTCAAAATGTGGCCTCACAAAAGACAGCCCAGAGCGCTGCCGTGTTCCTGCCTGGGGCTACAGGAAGTTGTGCGAGCGTGTGTGTGTTTTACGAATGTGTTTGTGTGTATATGTGTGTATGTGTGTGTTTGCATGTGTGTGTTTGAGTGTGTGAAAAGGCAAGGATTCTTTGTGGGGCTGTGGGGTGTGAGTCCCAGCCATTTCTTGGCAGTGTGACTGGCGGCAAGTTACCTTACCTCTCTGTCTCTCTGTTGTCCCATCTAGTTAAGCGGGGATAATGATAGTACATGCCTCGAGGATTGTTTGAGAATTACGTGAGATAATACATGCAAAGGGTACGTAAGCACAATCAATGTCAGCTGTCATTAGGATGCCAACATCACTTTATCAGCTCTTGGACGTGCTAGTAGGAGTGTGTGTGACTTCACAGTAGTTTAGAAAGAGCCTGACTTACAGAGGGGTGCAATTTTGTTTGGTCTGTTTTGCTGATTATGTTCTATTGTCTGGTCCTACCTCTTCTTTCTGAGCTCAGAAAGGGAAGGTTGCAGGTGCTCCCAGCAGGTGCCGGGAGAAGCTCCTGTAGTGTTAAACATAACCCCAAGAACAAACCTCAGACTGCATCTTCTAGTCCTGCTCCAGGACCACCCCAGTCTGTCTGTTAGGATGGCCCAGGGCTCTCCGTGTCCAACCCCAGCACTGAGGCATGGACGCGGTCTCCCTTTCTGCTTAGGTCCTGCTGACGTCAAGGCCATGTTCCCTCTGCCTCCTCGGCAGGAGACTTCCCTGTGTGACCCAGCACTTGCCTTTAGCCTGAGTTTCTCATCCTCTAGCCGTCTCCTGGGTGCAAACGAGTCTGCAAATCACCCAGAACAAGGACTTGTTGCCATGGGGCTGATGAATCGCCCAAATGCCTGTGCAAGCGCATCCTGGCCTGGGAGGGCCCTGGTGGCCCCCACTCCAGAATCCCTTCATTCTCGCCTTTATCCAGGCAACGTTTATTGTGGCTTCTGGAGCTAGCCCTGGGCTGGCCTTGGGGTGAGAGTGATGAGCAGGACAGGCCTAGAATCTGTCCTTGGGGAGCAGTAAGCAGGTCATACCAGGGCAGCAGCATGACCCAAATCCACAGCTGGCTGCTGGAAACTCCCTCCTCAGAGCCTGCCCAGGATGGACCCCATCCGAGGAATGTGGGGGTGCTAGAGCCGGGTAGGTCTGAGGTCCTGGTTCTGGACGGCAGCCCAGGTACCAACCCTCAGGGAAAGCTCTTTTATGGGAAACCGGGTCGGCCCTGCCTCCCTGCTCTCTCCTCCTTGGCCTTCTGGGCCACTTTCAAGAGACACTTGGAGTGGGTAGACCCTCTTCCTCTAGGCCAGAGCAAGGGGACGGGAGGTGGACCAGGCCTGGGGAGGGGAAAATATGTCCCCCTACCTGGGCAGGGTGGCTATGAGCTCTCAGGACCCCAGAGCAGCTGATAGAGCAGCCCCCTTTCCCAGGCTGAAGGCCCACAAGCCTGGACTCCAAATGTTGCTTCCTGCGACCTCCATTTCAGACACCCAGTGACCAGTCTTCGGAGGACACGGGGAGGGAGCAGCTCCACTTGCTCACTCATCCTAGTGTCCCAGTGTGTACCCCATGCCTCCTGGGCAGCTCTGCCAAGCCAGGTGGACTGGACTGTGCCCTGTGTAGGGTGATGGAGACTGGACAGGAGGGATCTGGGGGTGTGAGACGTGGGTCTTGTGGAGAGTGGCATAGGAGCCCCAGCCTGCCACGTGGGCCCCAGTCCCGTCCTGCTGTCAGGGTGAGGTGGGCCTTCAGGGGAGAGAGGAGGCTGGGTTCATTGTTAGTCCTCTGTGTGTGTGCCAGCAGCGGGCATCAGTGAAGAGCTGGCTCAGGTGGCCTGCATGTGCAGGGCGCGAGTGGGTGCAGGGGCGGGTTCTGGGTGCGGGTACAGGGCGCGGGTGCGAGTGTGTGCAGGGTGCGGGAGGGTGCGGGCGTGGGCGCGTGTGCAGGTGCAGGTGCAGGTGCGGACGCGTTGAGGGTGCCGGGCACGGATGTGGGTGCGGGTGTGTGCCCACGGCGCGGGTGCGGGCGCCGGAGTGGCGTGTGCAGGGTGCGGATGAGGCGCGTGCAGGGGGCGGCGGGCGGGGCGGGCGCGGCGGCGGTGACAGCGGCGCCCGCGCCTCCCCGCGCGTAGGTGTGCGGCGCGCTCCTGGCGGGGACGGAGCGAGCAGATCTCGCGTGCGCTCGCCGCCCGGCGCAGCCCAGCCCGGCCCCCGCCCGGCGCCGCGAGCCGAGGTGTCTCCCGCGCCCGCGCCCGTGTCGCCGCCGTGCCCGCGAGCGGGAGCCGAAGTCGCCGCCGCCCGAGAGCAGCCGAGCGCACGCCGAGCCCGTCCGCCGCCGCCATGGCCACCACGGTGACCTGCACCCGCTTCACCGACGAGTACCAGCTCTACGAGGATATTGGCAAGTAAGAGCCGCGGCGCGCGCGGGCTGGGCCGGGGACCCGGGAGGGCCGGGACCTCAAGGAGCCGGGACCCTCCGCGCCGCCGGCTCTGGGCGCACTGCGGCCCCGCGCGCCGCCGGCTCCTCCGGGCTCCGGGCCGAGCGCACGGCCCGCGCGGCCCGGACCCCCGAGCCCCAGCCCCGGGCCTGGCCGCCGGACCTCAGCGCGCGCAGCCCTGCCCAGCCCTGCCCAGCGCTGCTGCCCGGCCGGGCCAGGGACTCCGGGCTCGCGACTCGGCGTGGCGGGGGCGGCAGCAGGTGTCCCCAGAGCGCCCGGCAGACGTGACGCATTTGGCGGCGGGGAGGTCAGAGAGGAGGGGCTCGCGGGGGCGGCCGCGGGGTCTGGAGCACCGGGAGGGGTCGGCCGCGGCCCCAGAGGGTCGTCCCCGGCGTGGGCGCGCTGTCCCCACCCCCATCCGAGCGGCGGCGGCGGGGGTGCCGGGACCTGCTCCGCGCCTGCTCCTGCGCGTGGCCCCATCGGCGCGGGGGTGCCGGCGTGGGAGCAGCCTCCGCCGTGGGTCCCCCGGGGAATCTGGGTTCTGGAGGATTTTCCCTCAGATCCTTCTGGAAACAGGAACTGGGGGGCGAAGGAGAGCGAGGTCAGGGAGCCGGGATCAGGTCATCGGGATGGGGATGAGGGGATGAGATGAGAAGCCTGACTGGGCTTCTGATTTCGGGGTCAGAGAGGTAGGCGGGTGCTGGGTTTTGAAGAAGGTTATTTGTGTGGGGGGGCCCTACAGGGGAGGGCTTGGAAGGCTTGTTTCTAGTAAGGCCTCGCGGGGAACAGGTGCTGTGGCTCCTGGCCTCTGCTCGGCAGCGTGAGCGCTGTGGGGCGAAGCCGGGCTTGGGGGTCCCGGATCCGCTTCGCTCCTGGAGTGAGAGACCAGGAAGCCCCTCAGGGGCCTTCTTTCTGGTCCGGGGTCTCCGCTCCGCGAATCAACCTGGCGGCACCTGGCATCCGTTGGGGCTGCTTCAGAACTCCTGAATCTCCAGCCCGGCTGGGCCGGAGCCCCATCCTCCCCCTCCTGCTGGCTCCTCCTGATTCTCCCCATCCTCCCCCACCCTCCTCCAGCCCTCCTGCGAGGTGGGGGCGCTGGCGAGATTTCCTCTTACACATCCCGCAGCAGATCCTTTTTTTCCTTTACTAAATAAGTGTCTGGTGAAACCTTGTGGTGGGCGAGGGACGCTGATCATTGATAATTGTGGAGTGCCGAGCTGGAGGAGTGTGGGGGTGTGTTCGTCCCCACTTATCCCTGCACATGGGGAGGATCTGGGTGTGGGGGAGGGAGCCGAGTGGAGTGGACGGAGCCCATGCTGGGTGGCTCAGGGTAGGGGGACAGGGCTGGCCCAGGGGACCCTTTGGTGGGGGCTGGGTGGACCTGCAGAGCCCCCCCAGGGCAGATACCTCTAGGGAGGGGCCGGGCCCCACACCCCTTCACAGGGACTGTGTGTACCTCCTTGTGGGCTCTGGGGACACAGGCCTTGAAGACACTTCCAGGGGCTAGCTGGGGCTGTGAGGAAGGGGGTGAAGGGCTGGGGGTCCTCAGATAGTGGTGAGGTGTCCTCCTATGTGGACAGGAGGCCCAGGGCTGTGCCCCAGCAGGGGTGCCTGGCTCCCCAGTCCTCAGACCCTCAGATACACAGGTCTGTCCTGTTGTCCTCCGAAAGTGTGTCCTGGCTGCCTTAGGGGCAGGTGGGCAGCAGGTGATGCACCTGGTTCTCCAAAGAAGAGGTCGGCAGTGGGAAGCCACCCCTTCCTAGGGGGCCTTCTTGTCATCTCTGCTCATGCCCAGGAACACATGGGCCCTTATGCCTGGAGGCCCTGGTCTCCAAAGAAGCCTCTTTCAAGACCATCGCACACACCCCTAGTTTCCTCACGTGCAGCGAACTCTGGCGGTTCCCTGCTTCGCTTTGGTGTGAGCCCGGCTGTGTGCAGCAGCAGGGTCAGGATGGCCCCCAGCCCCAGCAGCCTCCAGCTCCAGCAGTGACTGGTTCTCTCAGCTGTTGCCACCCACACTGGGGAATGGAGGTCTTTGGGGCTGCCTTCGGGGAGGCTGAGAGGGTGGCAGCCACAGCAGAGACCAGGTGAGGCTGAGACTGCTGGGCTCCTGCCCCCGAAGCAAGAGGATGAGTTGCCACCAGAAGGGAGCAAGTGTGGCCTTCCGGTGAAGGCACCAAGATCCCTGTATGTGTGCAGTGAGCAGTGAAGCCTGGTGTCGAGGGGAGCGCTGTGACCTGGGACATGAGGGGTAGCATCCTGGCCAGGAGCAGTCCGCTCAGCCCAGCATACCTTTGTGGATACCTGCTAGACACCAGGCTCTGGAGGCTGCTAAGGGCCTGTCACTGCCCTGCTGGGTGGCCCTGGAGTAGGGACAGGACTGAGTGCCCCAGAGTGCAGCTGTGCTGTGGATGGGACAGCTGAGAGGGTGGGGCAGGGCACCCAAGGGAGATGTCTGAGGCCAGGGCTGAGAGCTGTGGGAATTCAGCCAATTCGTAGGGCTGGGGGTCTCTCGGGGTGGCCATGTTGGCTGGTTGTTGACAGTGCCTGCCCGGGGCACAGTTGGTGTTGCTTCCAGGCCCCAGGTGGACACGTCCAAGTTTATTTAAAGCTGCAGCCCCTGGTACCCAGTCAGGTGACGCTGAGCTCCCTGCCCAAAGGAAGGGCAGGCGTACAGCTGCTCATGTGTGTCTCGGCCACGGGCCATTCCCCTCCCCTGCCCCATCCCTTTTCTGCTGTCCCTGCTCCCGGATCTTCCCCAGGAGCCTGGGCAGCGGGGTCAGCTGGCAAAGAGGAACCACTTTCTGGGGCCTGCCCAGCCCAGCTCCATGGGGTGTGCCTTTCCTTGCCCAGCCTGGCGGCCCATGTCCTGGGATGCAGAGCCACCTCGAGCCTGGGGGCCTGGGAGCAGGTACAGAGCACAGCAGGGATGCCCCCAGCCTGGCATGGACCAGCCAGCTGTGCAGTTTGAATTATTTTGTATTGGATCGGTTTTAAAAATCCAGAAAAATACCAGGAGTTATAAAACGAATACCAGTGTCTTCTCTACCCAGAATTAAAAACTGTTAATCTTTTGTCGTTTTGGCTTCAAGTCCTTTTTTTAACTTGTAAGAAGTAAAGCATTGCAAATAAATAACCCATTTTCCTTTACTGCATTTGCATTTTTCCTCCCAGGCTCTTTTTGGCACATTTACACGCACACATAAGTATCCATAACTAATATATAGGATTTCTTTGTGTTTTCTGTTAAACTTATGTAAAAAACCTGGCACTTGTATTTTTCGCTCAACATAGCCTTGTTGACTTGATCGCGGGCTGCTGCGCAGCGCTCTGTAGTACGAACACCACGTCTACCTGCTCTGCTCCTGCTGCAAATCTAGGTTGTCTCCAGTGTCCGCTCTCCTCCGCACACTGAGCCCGCGCCATGTCCGCGTCCGCTGGCGCAGGTGTGAGGCTTTCTCTAGGGTGTATCCCTGGCAGTGGGGCTGCCCATGAGGGTCTGTGTGCCTTGTCTCAGCAGGTGCCACTACACTCCCTGCCGTGCTCAGTCCCCCCAGCAGGGACGGGGCCCCCGCCCCTAGTGCTGCTGTCCCTCGGCACTGGCAGGTTGTAAATGTTGACAGTTTGTTGGGTGGGAAGAGGTCTCACATTTCGTACTCAGGTTTGTGAATCTTCTACTTTTTGGGAGTTGTCATCGCCTTTAGAATATGGACTATCTCTCTGGAAGAAAGCAGCTCCTGTGAGGTTTTGGATATAGTTTCAGGGGTTCATGGACTCCTCCTTTCCTGGGGGAGATGGCACTTGGGCTCATGGTCTACATTGTAACTACATCTACGTACATTACTTTAAACATTTGATTTTATTTGACTGAAGTTGTCCCGGAAGGCTCTTCTCCTCAGCCCCGTTTTACAGACAAAGAACCAAATTCAGGGAAGGTCCTGCAACTTACCCAAGCCCAGGCAGCAAGGGTGGCCCCTGAGCTCCAGTCCAGGGCATCTCCCACCCCTCCCAGCTTGCCCCGAACCTCACATAGGCCCAGAACCAACTTTGATACGTCCTTGACTCCATCCAGTGGGACCCCAGTGGGCAGAGAGCAGGCTGTGTCCGGGGGCGTCTGTGACCTGGCCACTGGTGGAGGCATCACTGTTAACTGGTGAATGCCTTCTGCCGAGAGGCTTACACCGAACCAGTGAATGGCCTACTAGGTAGTTAATAGATAAACTTGGGAAGTTCAGAGCAAATCAATTTTTGAGTCTCCAAGCTCTGAAGCTGGTTGCCAGGGAAGAGAGGAATTGGTGGAGGAGCCATCATTGTGTTTGTTTTCTCCCTCCCTGGAGCCACCAGGCACTTCCTGCCTCAGGGCCTTGGCCAAGCCAGCCCTCTCCCTCCTCGCAGCCCCCCTCTCCACCAGCTCACTCTCTCGGCTGCTCAGCAGGCTGTCCCAGAGCCCAGCCCTGGTTCCCCATCTCCTCGCCAGCACTTCTGTCTTTCCCTCGCAGTCTGCCCCATCTGACACTCTGGGCAGCTTACCCACATGGAAGCAGGGGTCTGGTCCCCTATCCACGGCTCTGTCCCCAGCACCTGGCCTGAGGTGTGTGCTCCTACACCTGTGGGGAAGGGGTCGATCAGGTGGACCTCTGCCTGCTGGCCTGGCTCCAAGGAGGCCAGCTCGAGTCCTCCTGGTCTTGATTCCTTAATGTAGGGTAGTTTAAAAAGTCGCACATGCTGAGGTTGCTGGCAAGATGTGCATTAAGGTGATGCTAGTTTAGTTACTATTTAATGGTATTTTTATACCATAACCTACTTTGCTGAGAGCTAAGAATATATCTGCATGCCTGCTACCCAGACTCTTTCTTTTCTGGTAACAGTTGCTAGCGCTTAAATGGTGCTTATTATATTAACATGCTCAATCTGTGAAATAGGTACTGTGATCATTGCAAGTTTACAGAAGAGGTAACTGAGGCACG